TAAGTGCGTTGCCCAAGATCACAGCACAAGGCAGCGACGGAGCTGGGAACAGGACTTGGGTGAACGTTGCTCTGGGGCTCTGCCTCACTCCGTTTGCAGAAGAGCCCCTCATCTCTCGGCCGCTATCGTGACACGCGCCTCCTGTGTCGGCTCGGTGTCAGCCCAGCGTCCTGGCACGCGCTGAACCACTCCACATAATATTTCTCATTTATCTCCATGCCAGAAGTAGGAAGAAGCAATGTCCCCAACAAATCGACAAGGAGATTAACTTCAGGAAAAAGTCGTCATTCCTCTGTCAGCGCTGACACCCTTGGATAAGCAGCGCTGGAGAAATGGTGGAAGTGTGGCTGTTGTCCTAGCTACGCTTGTCCGGCTTTGCAAACATCCCCTTGCGATGCTGCAGTTGCTTTGGTGAGGAGTTAAAGTTGCGGCTGAAGGTGGGAACGAGATCCGCTACAGAGCAGATGCACTCTTGGCTGCAAAGCTCATGTTTATTCTGTTTTTCTGCATGCTGTGCGTGCTCCGGAGGAGTTGCTCCCGTTGAGAGCGCTGCTCTATACGAGCTAGTCTTCAGAAAATTTGTACTCTTAAATACCCTGTGCAAACTCCAAGGGGTGCCTGATTATCAGCACAACACACACTCGAGACTGCTGCAAAGTGTGGCTTTGGGTTTACTTCTTTTTACAGCCAGCCTATAGGTTATTTGCATGAGTTAATAAGGCAAGAGAGAGAGGAAAACACAGAGAGACTTGGGGAGCACGGTCTATTCCAGTTGAAAATGTCTTTTCTGTTTTCCATGAGACGGCAGCTGCTTGTCAGGTCTGTGCTGACAGAACTTTGAAGCACGCTTCAGTAATCTGTCTGCATTTCTTCGCTTCCCCTTGCTGTTTCCAACATGCTAAAAATCATCAAAACAGTGAAATACTGTCCCGCGGCTGCAGGAAGAGGAATGAGAATGTGTTCCCAGTATCCAATCATCTGCTTATTCTGCCTGTTCTTAAGAATAGAATTTATTGAAGCAATTTATCCTGACTAAATGTGATATAAATCTGAGCACATGTATGTACATACCAGTCATATTCTGTAGTGAACGAGCAGCTAAATCTTTCTTTAAAGAATGAGTGAATCCTCCTGACACTTTGCAAGATCAAGTAAACTGAGGTTTTTGCAGTGTGTTGGTCCCGATTTTTTTTTTTTTTTTTTTTTTTTTTTTTTTGTGTTTTTTTTTTTATTTTTGCGGAGGAGGCGGCGG